TTTTGCATCTGCCGCTGTTACTGGTCCTTTCCAGGATAAAATTAGCAATAATTGCACCCGTGCGAACTGCAGTCGGTACAGCGCTGGCTCTTGACTCCTTTTGATTTGGTGGTTGAATCCGAGATGGTTTGCCTGGTCCTGCAAATTTTGTTTCTTCAAAGGATATTGCAATGTAACCTTGAAATACAGACAGTTCCATAGGCTTTTGGTGAAGCAGATTGTGTTAATAAATAAAAAATAAATTGCGCTTTTATTACTTTTATTGATCCCAGAAGGGCAATTTGGTTTGCAATGGCAAACATACATACATACATACATACATACATACATACATAATTATGAATACATACATACATACATAAATACATGCACAAATACATATACATAAATGCATAATATTACACAAGTACAGAATAATCTACAACCCTGCCATTGCCGGTCGCCACCATGCGGCGCCCTGTATTTTTTGCTCGAGTTGTCGTGTCTTGCTCAAGGACACACCCCAGTGACCACCCATCTAAACCCCATGTCACCTACACTTGCTTGACATTACTTGAGTCTGAACTCACTGCTCACTTACCCACTGGAGTTGTCTCTTGTTCTAGTGTCAAGCGACCAGGACAACGATATTCAAACAGAAAAAAAGAAGATATATGTACCATCTCCTCGTTTTCAGAGGATACTTGTAGAGAAAAGCGAGTCCACCTCAGAGGTCAGTACCTCCCTTGTAACAGTCGCCCTCACAACAAAAAGTTCGCCCTGTTGATGGATGGCGGGGGCTCTGTGCGGTTTGCTCCTTTTGTTCTTATCAAACTTTTGTTGTCCTTATCTCTCCTTCTTTTATGTGGTTTGTGTTTTTTTTCTTGCGCTTCTACCGGAGGGTGTGTTTTGTTAGTCCCTTGAAACACCTCTTATCTTCAGCGCTTGTAAGATCTGTGTTGCAAGTGTCTAAAACGTTTACAATAAACAAGTTTCCTCCTAGACTGCCTCGGTTTGGCGAGAGTGGAGTTTCTTCAGTTGTTATGCCATAAAGATACACGACGGACTTGCAAATGTCCATTGATTATTGTCACGTTGTTACTACTGCCCTTCTGACTGTTTCTTTCAGTCTCTCTCTCTCTCTCTCTCTCT